TCCCCTCTTCCTGTTTAAAGCTGCTACCCCTCATCCTATCACTGCAAGCCCTTGCAAAAAGTCCTTCCCCAGCTTTCCTGTAGGCCTCTTTCAGACACTGGAAGGCTGCAGTACAGACCTGGTTTTGAACCTCTCCTCATGTAAGCGCTGTTCAGAGGTAAAGAGCATAAAAAATGTTGTGAAAAGAGCAACTTGGCAAAATTACATTATAAGAAATTATAAAGAAGGAAAAGAGTGTTCCCAGCTCATGCAGCAGTGCTCAGCTATGTTTCTGTAGCTGAGTTTGATGTTTTCCTGTCTGCTGAGCCCTGCAGAAAGGTGACCTCCCCACATCACCCAGGTTCACGACGTTCTAAGCTCTCCCCAGATTCTGTATTACCTACTAGCTGGAATCAGTTCTCACTGGCCAGGGATGGTGGAGGTACCAGTGCTTCCCTCCCCACCTTCACCAGCGCTTTTCTTGTGATGATTATTGTCTAATCTTGTGAAATTCAGCCTGTGCAGGGAGTCTAATACAGGTATTCCAGGCCCATTCCACTTAGAGATTTTGTTTGAAAGATTTAAATAAGATTTCAGCAGTGCACATGGTTTGTGCTGCTTCTCTGCATACACAGGATTTAAACTTTGTCAGTTTCATGTCAATAAACCTTGGGCAGTTGAGTGATCCCAGATGCAGACCCAGAACCAAGTCACTTGACAGGCAATGAGTTCATGTCAGTGGACTTAGTTTTTGTAGTAGCCAACTGTAGAGAATCCTGGAAATCAAGTACAGAGTCATTCATCTGAGGCTTCTTATTTCATCATGGAAAATATGAGCTCATCATTGTATTTTCTCTCCCTCAGAGACTCCTTCAGCAGGATGAGCCTTCGCAAAATGGATATCTAAACAAGTTAAAAACCAAAATAAAAAAAGCACTTAAAATTAAGGTTTTGCAAAGAAAGAGCCTTGTCAGCGCTGGGAATCAAAGAAGTTTTATTGTGAAATAAAACTTGGACTTCATCCTGGACATCCCATACACCTCTTCCTCCATCAAAGTGTTCAGTGGCCAAAAATCATTCTGAATTGTCAAATGTAGACTTCTCAATGTTTGAAAAAAAAAAATCATGACAGTGGTATCCAGAGTATTGGTGATAAGCTGTAAACTTACCTGTTTTTTAAGGCATTTTTATGACTCAAAGGTACACTAAACGCATTTACCTTTATTTATAGCATTACCTAATGTTAAATTTATTTACATTTAGTTCATATATTTAATTTATATTAGGACCATACGCAAATGCATTTTTGAAGTTTTTAATGTAGTGATGATGGTTATTTTGATGGTACTATTAAATATGTGAATGTTTACACTTTAATTCCCTGTGCATTGGACTTCAGAGCATGCCATCCTTGGGGAAAAAGGTTCAGAGAAAGGTAAGTCTTACAGTAACACTTCTTAACCAAGTGGTGATTTTTTTATTATCCCTGTCCTTTTGCCTTTGTAACTCTGAGTACAAATCGCTGCAAAGAAAAAGAATTCCATCTGTAGCCATCAGGAAGCTGTCAATAGAGGCACATCTTGTTTCTACTTCACCTCTTTCTGTACAAGTGGAGTGGAGTTTTAGCCCAAATTCTGAGTGTCCGTGGGCATTTCCCCCAGCTAGGAACTCCAAACAGCACAGTAACCTCATAACATCAAATAGGCCATTCACTTTGCAGTGTACGTGCAACTAGACTGCTTTTTGTGTCCCTTTTTCAATTTAAAAACTAACTTCACAGAGAAAAACAACATGAAATGATATCAGAGTTTAAAAGCTCACATAGAAAGCAGGCTTTGTGGGTTTTGTTATGTAAAGAAAAATGTCTGGTTTACAGCAGTTATTTTGGTGGCTGACACAGCACTTCAAGGACACATCAGATTTGGAGCTGTGTATGCAACTCCTAATATATTTATATTTTTCCTCTCTGTATTGAACAAGGGGCATTGGAAGAGGTGGTATGTGATTAAACACAAGTTTATTCTCTCTGTAGAAATATCTAAATATGCATACGTACATATCTATAAAAATTAGTAAGCATACTTTATAAGAAAAAGTTTTATACATGAGCTTTCAAGGTGGCAAACAATTATACATCATCATTTCTAATATGTATTTGACTTTTAAAACCTATTTTTTTACCTTCAGTTCTATGTGTATGCACACACTGCTCTGTTTGAAGGTGCTGGGGGTGTTTCTTTGGCTACACCCCATCCATTTTAGCACCTGTAGCTGCAGCAGGCACCCACCCTTCTGCACCAGCAGGGAGGGTTTGGGGTGGGGAGAGTCTTTTTTTTTTTGGTATTTGGAAGTTATTAGTGTCTGCCTGTCAGTGTGATGGGAGGAGGATGATCGTGCTCTTGCTGGTGAGCAGGGCTAAGTTGGTTTGTGTTGTTTTGATTTCAAAGCCCCGGGGTGTTGACAATGCTTTGGAAGCTGCAGGGGAGGCAGGGGCTCTGATGGAGGGGGTGGCTTTGCTGGAGACTGATATGGAGAGGCACACAGAATACTCAGAGTGACAAAGGGGAAACAAGTCCCACTACCCATGAGGGAATGAAGCTGTAATTTCCAGTGGTCCTTGTATGCTGTTTGAATCTTGTACAAATGTACTTTGATTTTGCTGTGTGGCCCCATGGCAGCACAAGGACACACAGAGCTCGTGTACGGCTGGG